CAGGATGGATCATCAGAGTGGCAAATATTATAGAGACAAGAAGCCGTAGCGGGAAACGGCGATACAGGGCGCGAAGCAATAAAAATATCATTACAGTAAACCCTTGTTTATCGCAGGGGTTTCGTTCCTAAAAGAACCCGCGATAGGTGAAATCCATGAAGTAGAAACCTTTATTTTTTTTAAGATATTATACAATGAAATACTCCATACAACATTGAAATCAAGGAACAAAAACTTTTTACAGGCCCAAGCATTTGTTAAACAAATAAAAGTAGCCTACGGTATAGACGTTTTTATTGTCTGTTTTTTTTTTTTTTTTTACAAATAACTACTGTACTGTACTGTAAAATAATATAGTTATCAATAAATAAGTAATAATTTTAATCATCAATACAAACTGAAATGTTAATTTTTTTGTTCTAAAGCCTGCGTAGCAGGTGTGTTTTTTTGAGAGAAGGACATAGTTATCGGTAGTTGTTGTCTCTCTTTTTTCTTCTGGGCCAAAAGATCCTTATAAACCGACATGCTACCATTGATTATGTTCGACAATAAAGTTTAAGAATGGATGATGCAAATCCGTGAAGCAGCGAGACAGTGAAAAGTGAACCGCGTTATAGCGAGGGTTCACTGTACATATATATTTTAAAAAATGTAACTAAATTTGTAATTCTTAATATTTTCGGAAGTAACTATAACTGAATTACATATTTTCTCATTGTAACTGTAACGAATTACAGTTATTCTGTTTTTGTAATTAAATTACGTAACGTCGTTACATGTAATCCGTTACTCCCCAACACTGTCCATCAGCCACCACCCTTAGAGCGTCCCCACCAACTTTTATTGCAAAGTTACACCCTTGCTTTTAGGTATGCCTCACAAACCACAAAATAGAGAAAGAACCATTGCATTTTATTTTTTAAAAGATCAGCCACCCAAGAAAAGACCAACCACAAACAGAGAGGATGTGCAGAACAACTCAGTCATAAAGGATGAACTACAGGGATGTTCTCATTTTATTATTACTTATCTTATTCATTTATCCTTATTTTGGTCCATTAAGTATGTCTAAAAACGTTTTGTATCATTTTGTACGATTTTGTATCATTAGCCTATTACCAAATATTCATACACAGTGTATTTTGCACGGGTTTTGATTGCACTGGTTCCTGTAATAACTAATTTGTTTCCCATTGTTTTTTTTTTTACTTGAGCTGCATAGAATTATTAATAAACACAGGTGTGAAATTCTTAGTTTACAGTAGATGCAAGAATTTTAGTAGGGCCCATACTTCTTTACTTCAATTCTCTGAAAATCACCAGAATATAAAATGATGTTTATTGTGTGAAAAATGTTCTAAAAAATGATGGATCACTTATTGTTCAATAACACTTACTGTGCTGTAAAAATTCTACATTTTGCCACTTTGTTGTGTTTGTAAATCCTCAGAAAACCTACAACCTATAGCTTCACCTGTCCTCATAGCCTTTCAATCAAACCATGACAAGGGTTGCAAACACCCACCACAGGGGAGTGTTTGGGCATGATCTCCTGGCTCCTACCAAAGTGCCTGTTTTGGTTCAACAGGGACTTGGGGTGTAAAGATTGTGTGAGGAGTCTTTGGGTCCCTTTTTTATTTGTACGGGTGCCTCGAACACCTCCGCCATGGACTAATGGCTCCCACCTCCCACTGTGGTGACTCCCACATTTTAATATACAAAAAAGTCACACTAACAGCTTTTTTTTAACAGCTCTTTAATATTAACACACTTCATCCCAACATGCACACATATAGGCATCCATCTACTATGTATTGTATGCCTAAAACCCCATGACATGGAAGAAAAACCCCCAACTATAAATAGAAATAATAAAGACATGAAAGTGTCCACACATACAAACAAACATGCACAGAAGTGCTCCAATGTTCAACAGTCAACCAGCTCTCCTGGAGGGAAAATTTGACTCCAAGAAAAACACCTGCTTTCACCTGAAGATCAGCTTTCAAGATACACAATTGTTCAGTTCCCAGCTCTTCATATCATCTCAGTTCAGTTTACCTTTACCTAGTTTGTATTTGTAGGCATTTTTTCATATCCGAACAGCCATTTTGCCCCAAGTCCAGCTAAGTAAAAGTCGTTTAGAGTTATTAAATGACCCTTTACCAAAACTAAACTTATTATTTTTGTTAAATCTCTGCCATAGGAAATCTGATACCATCTTAAATGGATTATTTGTATTCTTAGATTTTCAAATAAGGGAAAAAAGAGGATTTATAAAGATGAAGCATGATTTTTTTTTTTTATATGGTATTATTTGATGGGGAGAATGGTGCTATAATTTTTTCATATTGCTATAGAAATTCTATTAAGATATTATTTATAAAAACCACTAAAGCATATAAGACTAGCATTTGTATTAACTAATAAGTTGCATAGTACATTACAGGTCTACATATCATTTATTGCCACAGTAAGAGCCTCTGTAGAGGGTCCAAAGAGCCACATGCTGCTTCTTGTATCTTAGTTTGTTAGGACACAGTATGAGCTGATGTTTTTTTAATATTTAGCATTTCCTGTCCTTTCTGTTAGCCTTCCTAGGCACTGCACTCATGTTTGTCAGTCAGTGAGTCAGGGGTAAGGTCAAGGAAAAAATACCAAATGCATGTACTCTGGTCTTCTTTTTCTCACATTAAAGCTTATGAACTTTGCATTCAGCAGATGGGAAGGGAACCCCAAGTTGGCAGAGCAGCCTCAACACTTCATCATGGACCAGGTTGGCCTAAACCGATGACCCCTATGCTTAGCCACAGTGGATCCCATGCCAGCTCCTCTAGAGGCTCAGCCATGTCTGCTGTCCTTGCCCATGGGTCTACAAACATCCCCACAGCCCTGCTCATTCCCAAGAAAGAGAAGCTATCACCCGTTCCACTCTATGCCACAGAAATGAGCAGCTTGACTGGTAAACATTACAGTTAAAAATGGATAATCTCTTACTGCATTGCTGAATTTTTAAATGTTAACAGCAGCTGAGTTTAGGAAATGCAAAAAAAAAAAAAAAAAAAAACCTAGCCTGTGTTGCAGGCTGGTTTTGTTACATATCAGTAAACCATGTATGTTTTATTCTGGCGATATTTCAGTGTTTATAATAGAAATCTTCAAAATATTTATGTTTTGAAGCTAGATATATGAATTAATATGTATGTATA